CGTTCTTTCGACCACTGAGCGTTGATTAGCCAAAATACTCACTCACAATTTGCATTGTGTGGTAGAATCGCAAAAAAATGGTGCAATCATTAAAATTTCTTACATTGATTCCACGCCTGGATTAGCTAAATGAAATTAACGCACTTTCCAAGTGCTTGATTGCTTGAAAAAGTTTTCGTATCTCTATTGTTCCAAAAATGTATTGAGATTATTTGATCAAATAACTTTGCATCGTTTACCACCACATGTCGTAAATTTAAATACACTACCGTTTCTTCAACTGACTCATACTTCATAGGAATGTTGTACCAGAAATAGAGCCATTTGAAAATATTTAACTCTGACAACGGCCGAGTCCTTTTCTCTATATTCTCTGTTGCCCCTTTATACGCGCTCATGACTTTGTCTACAAATTTGTCTCAAGCAACTTCTTGCCCATCATCTCTCAGTTTGGATGTTCAATGTCAAGAACTCTGAGTTCAGTCGGACACTCAGTGACTAAATTACTGCATCAATGACCAAATCAAAATTTTGAGTAAACTGTTATCCTCTTTCTACATCGTCAACATCTCGTCGTTAAATAATGTCATCACAGAACGAATGAACAAATGATAACATTAACAAAGTCATGAAGAAAAAATGACCGTAAAATATTTTGTTGCATAATTGTTTTTTATACAATAAGAGACTCTACTCAACAACAAAAAGAAAAATATTTAATCTAACAAAACAGTAATTAGTATAATGCATTAATTTACATTTGTATTGTATACTTAAAAAAGACTTAATGTGCCTCTAATAAGTATTGAACTTCATCTTCCGGGTCAATGACCCCCATCTCCCATTTTTGTCCAGTTTCCCTGATCCATTAAGCAAATGCTGAGATGGCTCCTTGTTTTGCTTCTGGACATAAATGTAACCTCAAATTAACTTCTCCCCATAGCACATCACACACAGTTTTTAACTGTTTTTGACGTAAATAAACAAATATTGCTGTCATGTGTATTTTTATTTGACTGCTCAGCTTTGATCAAAGCAAAATCATGTTATTAACTTTTTATATTTTTATTAAATGTCTTGTGAATCAATGGAGCATGATTTTTTTCTTCTGAGAATCAAGTTAAATGGATGAACGATCTTTGTCTCATTCTAACTTATGAAAAAAGGATGAAACGCGATTCTCCTATCCTTATTCTCTTAGACAGTACAGCTTTAGTTTACGTACCACTTTATCATAAAACTTTTGAATTAAAAAAGACACTATTTTGTGAAAAAACGGACTGTCCGCTCAGTGAACACCTCATACCCCAGCAACCCTAGGCCTGTTGTGGTGCATAAGTTCTCGAAACTACTCACAAAAATCCTTCCACTTATTTGTCCGAACAGTATAGATCGAAAAATAATTGTATAGTGTAAAAACAAAGGTGTGAATGTCAAATAGATGAAATTGATCCAAACCATGATTTGCGTTGTGAAGTATATGCGCTGGACAACCGACACCAATTAAATTAGTATTTAAACCTCCCTTTCCTGTTTATGTCCCCAAAATTTGTGTTCGCGTTATCACCCGAGAATGCTATAACTTCAATACCATTTTTTTAAATACTTTGTATTTTGTCGGCTCTTTCGTTTGTCGTTTCCTGCACATCTAAAAGTTTGACTTAGACCCCGTTTTTTTATAATCAAAATACTGCACGACTGAAAACCATTTTTGATTCTCCTGATTGCTACTATCTGTATTAATACTTATGTACGGAACCGTTTGCACATCTTTAGTCAAAGTGTCAATCGAGTGAGTAGACAAGACACCCGAAACAATCTCCTCTGTTTTTGTGCGAGCACAAGATACTTTGCAATTGCCGAATCAAGAAATAATTCTCGTAATAACGCAGGAGTAGAATCCATTGAATTGAAGATGATGTGATGTTTAACTGTGTGGTATACCAGGACTCCTTCTGCCAGCCACATGTGCTTCGCCAAAGCTGTATCGCTTTGTATCACAAGAGATGTTATGGTCTTATTCCTTGTCCAAGATAACGAAGTGGATGTAAACAAATGTACGTAGGTATGCAATCGCTGATTGGCTGCAAGTCCACGACACACTCGTCCTCGCACTATTTTAACCATACGCGTCAGAAAATAGTTTTGTGAAATTCTAGTAACTGTATGTTACATACAATAGAACACGCAACACCTCCGGGTCACCTGGCTCATTGTGATTTCTCATATAAAAATATCGTCTCGATATTTTTTGAAGACGTAACGCTGATCCACGCAGCGCAGACGCAACGACCAGCTCGATGACACCGCTACGTTCTTCGGGGAGACCTGTACCCACGGCCATCTGATCCGGCCAATTCAATAGACCCACCATTTAGTTTATTTTCCATGAAAGGAAATTCTTCGTTTTTGTATTCTTGTCGTTTGTCTTTCTCTGTGTGTTTTCTCCCTTTTCGCTTGAATTTTTTCAAATTGAATAAGTTCTAAGGCACTTCTGTTTGTAGGTTTTTGCAAATTTATTTTAAAAAATATGGTAATAGGTCTACGATAAAAATTAAAATGAAATATGCCGAGTGATTTACTTGTTCAAATTAAATTCATTATTTATCTTAAAGATGTGACCATCAGTGTTGCCAACTTCATGAAATAAAATGGTGTATAGAGCGAAAAGTGACTTTAGGTACTGGAGTTTAATCAACGCCACCTGCAAAGATCTATTTAGGTGGCGTAGGTTTAATTCCCGGCATACACACCAAGATCGCAGCGTTAAAACGCGAAAAAACACGCTTTTGAAAATTTCTTAGAATCCTATGGTCGGATCAGAAAACATTATCAGTTCCCCATTAGGAGACCGAGCGCGTCAAATGATACCTCGTATGTCTCGATTGGTGCACGGGAATGGTCAAACCGGGTGTCATGGCATCGCACTCGAGGAGTTACTCAAATACTATATAGGGATTGGCAGATCACACTGAAACATATTACGAATATATTTTTCTAAATATGTGGTACGAGGCAGTTCCCTATATCCGAAGATGATTTTAGGTGTTTGGTTCTTAATTAATGTTACTTCAGTGTGTTTGGCTCAAATTGGTATTACCTCAACAATAGCTTAGCAATAAAAGTTGTTTTTTATTGAAGGAAATATCGCGTTATTACAAGGTAGCAATCTCACAAATAGTTTGTCACCAGGTACCTACCTCTGACATTTAAGCACTGAGATTCTACTAGAAGTTAAAACTAAAGGACCTATGTCAAATCATACTTTAAAAGAGGTAGATGGAGAAAAATACCCTTCCCCCAAAACAAAACAGGTATGGCACAAAGCCCCGATTGGCTGGTGGTTTAAAAAGAAACAGACTCCACTGCTTCCATTTTTTCTTATTTTCAAGAAATTACTATGGGCGGTGTAATGTAGAGATAGTCTATGCAAGTTTTAAAAGATCATGGCAAAGGATTAAAAGTTGAAGGGATTAGCTAAACACCAGCTACTACCGTACAATTTTAAGAATTAGAAACAGAAGAATTGACTATGCTATATCAGAAGCTATACGGATTGACAAATAATGAGTTAAGTTTTAGAGATCATGAGCTTGATAGTTCTTCCAACAAAATAAATTACCTAAAATCACTTAACTTTTTCTCAAGACCCATACTTTAAGAGACTTAAAGTATCATCTCACTTTCTAAGGTGTGTTGCCAACAATAACAATAAATGAATGAGATATTAGACGATAATTGCCATTTTAAGATATAGCAATTAATAAGTAAATCTGCTCTAGAGCTTAACCCAAAAAAATTTCCATGCTAAACCACTGCAAATAAGTGGCTTTTAAACTTTCACTTTTCTCATCTCTGACAATGAATGAAAAATTATAGTATATCTCAGAGACTATGTTTTATCTCACAATCCAGATTGTAATTTCCTAACAGATAAAACATAACTTACAGTAATTATAGTAGAAATAAAAAATATTTATTAATTTTTTTCATTTTGCAAAATATGAATAATTGCTTTCTGCAATCAAATTAAGTTCAAGCAAAATATACTTTAAGACTATCTTTGCAAATGCTTTTTTGAGCATACATGTTAGGACTTTTTCAAATTTATACTGTGTATTTAGACTTCAAACTAGCATATTAAGTACTTTCTTATTATCTCTCTGCATAATTTGTGGATATTCAAACTTATGCGTATTTTGTATTAATAGTATACTGATCTTAGATCCTGATAGCATGCAGTAGTCTTTGGTGCTCATTGTTAAAATATGGGTTTTTCATTTCTACTTTTACAGGGACTAATCCACTCATGAAATTCCAGCCAATATCAGTCGAGAATTCTTACTTTACAACTCAATCAGAGAAGAATTATTTAATACTCGTATAATCACTTTTTCAATCCAACCTTGTAAGTGATAAAATAATGATTGTGAATGATGTTTACAAATAGACATTCTAAAATATTGTTGATAAGTCAATTGTTTACGAAATAATGATAATAGTTCGCTCTGAGGTTGGCACTACCTATGGCATTTTTAAGGACTGTCAGTTTAACCTTACCACCATTCACAATGTCCCATCAATACATCATTCTATCCTTCCACCATGGTTCAGGCTCATGTCAAATACTCATTCTTTGTTGGGAACAACCATTTTTCTGCTTTTCTAGGAATCAGTCACCCTGGGAGCTATACACACACGGATTCTTACACACTCCCAGCAAACATCTAGCGACAATTATAACCTTGAAGTACTCGCAACCTAACTGCAGTATCGGAATAAATCAAAATGTTTTTAATAAGAAATATTAGAGTTGATTGATAGTTTTAGTGATTCAGTGCACATCAACTACCTGGGTCATTAGTTCCATAAGTGTAGTGCATATTTTTGCTCAAAAGGTGGCAGTGATCTTTCCCATGCTCTATGGCGAGATCCGGCACCAACCTACCATCAGCTAGTGGGGTTTTCCCCAACGAGGTATCTCCCGCCAGTGGGATGCCGCACCAGCCAAGACAAGCTGTAAGTTCGTGACTGATCTCTCGGCATATGTGCTGATGTAGTGAGTGTTAGTGTAAGTGTGTGCGCGTGTGTGTGTGCAAGGGGAGAGGATAGGAAAAGAGAGGTAGGAAAGATCGCACGTGGTCCATGGCCCTTCTAGGGTACTGCTCCGGCATTCGCCTGGTGTTGATTGGAGAAACCAAGGAAAACTATGACGATTGAATTCCATATAGCTGACAAGGTAACAAAGTATCTGCCACCGTCAGGACTCAAACCTGACATCAGTCGATGTCCACACCCATCATCTCCTGGGAAGAAAAGTAATATTACGGTTTTTCAGAAACTTTTTAATTCGTTTTAGAAGATTTCCTCACCATTTTTAACATATTCACTATCAACTGTAAGATTGCACACTTAATTTTGTTTATGGGGTAGGGAAGGAAAATAGGGTGAGTTTGTACACAATCTCATCTAGGTAGTCTTTCTCTTGCTTTGATAATCATGTGTACCAAATTTCACTACCAGATTAAAGCTATAATTTGCATTAAAAAATCTTTTTTTTCAAGATTTTTCATATAATAGTAAATAATTACTGAAAAAAGTAGCCTAAATTACTTTTTTCTATTCTGGAAACACTACAGTTCATGTGTTGCCAACTATACGCTTCCAGTGCTCCCTGTACTTTGCTGCTCACTCCAAACTGCGTCCTCACGTCCTGATTCATTCCATCTGTCCATCTACATAGCCCAAATGATGCTCAACAAAAGCACACTCCATTTCAGTGAAAACCCCATTAAAATTGATTTTCTTGTCCCAAAAATTGGCCCAGTCAAAGACTGACAGACAAAAAATTGTAAAAATTATTTTAGTTTTTTTTATATTGTCTAAATAGCCATGCGAGATTTAAAAAAAGGAAATTATTTTAATCACATAAGACAATCCAATTACATTTCTATAGATACTACAAATCCTTTTTAACTCATAGGGACACATTTCTCTTCATTTAAGAAACAAAACATAGTTATTTAATAATTTTAATCCAGTTTTTACTGAAGACATTGTGCTCTCAAATACTGATGCACAAAAATTAACAATTTATAATACAAATGTACATCTACAAATAATGACACATGGTCATATCATTCACTCAGGAGATTCAAAAGTGTAATGCTTTACTCCTGATTGAGGATACTGCTTTGGCATCTGAAACAAAGTAATATTCCATATTAAAATATATGGTGAAATTATTATAACAAATACTATAAATGTAAAGGAGAAACAAATGTAAAAAACAAATAAAGGAGAAACAATGTAAAGGAGTAACAAATACTATCAGTGTAAAGGAGAAACAAATTCCACCCATTGAAGTAACATTTAAGTAAAAAGATTATACCTAATGGAATATATTTTTACAGCACATATTCTTTAATATTGAGTTTCTTTAAAATGAAAAGCAAAGACTCTCATAGATTCTGTGCCCTGCCAGCAAGAAAAGGCAAGTGGATTCATTACAACATTAGGTTGTTTTTTTACTTTTCTAAATAATGAAGATTTTAAGTTATTCAACTGATCCCTGTTTAAGGTACTCAAGGATTTAAATTTAGAATAGCTACAATATCATATCACCATTTCCAATTATTTGGTTTTTCATACTGCTGAATATTTGATTTTCTCACTAAGCCACTTATTATTATATAATGGGGTTATGGAATATATTTTTTAAGAAAAATAAGCATCACATAATTTTTCTCGTAGTTTTCACAATATCACATGTCAAGTACTGGAATATCTATATTACATAACACTTTTACTTAATTTTTATTACAACAATGATCAATGATGGTCATGTTCTTGGGGTCTAACCAGTATTTTTCAGTTTAGGGGAAAAATAAAAGAAAAAATGCTGTCATATTAAGAAAAGTTTGCTCTTGTGATCAGGGTGTGCCCAAAAAACTCGTAACATTTTAAACATTCCGACTTTGGATCAAGATAAAACAGCAATAAAACAATCTAAAGGAAATTTCATTCTCTTCAAAATCTAGTAAAGGAATAATACTGGAAAATTATGAGTTCAATGGAAAAGTTTACAAAACCATGAGACAATAGCCAGTTATAATTTTCAATATAGTAACTTGTTCAGTGCACAATTTTCAATAGTAGTTAAGACGAAAAACAACTCTACTTCAGAAGTCTGGAGTGGTCGGGATGTAATGTCTCCAGACCTACAATTGATTGGTGATTCTGGGCATGTCAAGTGCTAAGGTCATTGGTGCTGTAAGATAGCTTCTAGCGTTTTCTTTATAGTTTGAGTAATTTTAAGAAGAAAACTATAATAAGCATTTATTCATGACGTAACAACTAGCACAGCTAAAACAGCACTTTCAGCATTTTCTTATGTTTCTAAAATTGCAAATTTTGAAAATTCAGTGTTTATTGAAGAAAGAGATTTGCACCATTCTTTTAAGCATTCCTTGCTCTATCCATGGAATAAATTTGAAAAACAAATTTTAAGAGTTTTCTATGAAAACTTTTTTTATTTGCTTTAACTTGAACCACAAATTGCATGGAAACTTCTTGTTTCCATGCAAAAATTTTTTTTTTGAGATGATTTTTTAGAACAAATTTTAAGACAAAAATCTAACCTTTTAATAAGTAGTTTTAGAATGTCACTTTATAACAAATACTGCAACTTTGCCGGAAATAGGACTAGTGCAATTTTTTTACCATTCTTTGATACTTACGAGACAACTTAAACAAAACATTTGGAGCAGTTATTGAGAAAATAACTGTTTAAATATTGCCTATATTTCACACAATATTACGCAAGAACTATTTAAGAGACATACTTGACATTTTTTTAATCAATCAATTTATGGGTAAAAACCCACAAAACATGGATTCTGACCACACGTATATGAGGAGGTGATTTACTAAATAGGAACAAGATATCTAGCGCACGATTACAATATTTCCTCTTCTTAAGTAAGGGCGGAAAAGTAAAAAAGGAATAGGCTAGAGTATAGTATACGGTACAACCTATAGAAGTCATTTGAACCAGCACTTCACGCCGCTCCGGTGAAGGGGAAATCCACAGTGAAGGGATGAGGGGTGTTTAGGAGATTATGAGGGGAATCTTTCAATGGGAAGTGGTGGGCAATATGCATAACTTAGTACATATATATAAAAAGCAAAGCATGGGCAACTAAAATACATTGTAAAAAAAATACACTTCTGAAATAATTTTAATGGTTTGGAATTGGCCACGAACGTCACATTAAAAGTTAGGGGTGGGTGAAATTTTACCCTAATATTTTGTCAAAACTTCATTACGAAATGGTGTGTGGTGGCACGTAAATCGTGTTTTTGTCTACATGATTGTCTGTCCGGGTAGCTGTCGAAGTGGTTGACTATGTTGTTGTCGTACAGTTAAGTTTCTTGCGTTCTTCAGATTCTTTGTGATTTTGAGTGTCGAGTGTGTGCTATGATGAGAATAAATGTGAGTTTCATTGCGCATAGTTTTGTAGTTTGATTGCTGCAGGATTTAAGTGTACTGTGTCAGTGACCTATAAAGTTGGTCAAGCGAAAGCAGTCGTGCGATGGTTTCGAGTGGAAGAGTAGCAAGAAAGGGGCCACTCCTCATGTGCATAAGTGTTCCATGCGGAAGGGACCATGGTTTGCAGAAGCAAGTTGAGTATAATTCAGGTAATAGCAATGACCAATTTTGGGGTTATAAAACAGTCAGTAAAAACCGACATAAAAATCGCCTTATAGGTAAGTTTAATACATTTCTGTCAAAGCACTTAGCATAATTTGAGGGAGGGCTAGAGGATACCCCCTCCTCGCCACCACGCTTCTCTAAGGGTGCATCGTGTACTCAACTTTAACCAAGGAATATTTTGGCACTCCAACAAAGTATATTAACAACATGACAGAATTTTGATAAAACAAGAAAGTCCTATTTAATAACATCAACCCCATTAATATCAATGTAATGTTATAGAATGAATATATTTCATGGCATATATACATTTCTAAGAAAGTGTGATAACAAAAACCGTTAGAATTTAAATTACCCCCTTTGAAGATACAATCAATAATTTAATAAAATGATCAGGATATCAGACAGTTACACACTTGAAACAAGCTTCTCTTTACTATTTTTATACAAGTTTTGAAACAGAAACTAATAAGTCTACTTCAGAATGTTTTAATCGGTACTCGATTCTATTCTCTTTTACTTCCATTCCCTTCTTTCCATTCAGTTGCTATTTAAAATAGATATGAATTCGTAATTAATGCAAATATTTTTAAGAAGTTTGATATAAAAAGACTTACCACAGGTGGAACTATTCGAATATTATTAGTTCCTTTAAAAATTGCCCAAGCACCCAGTACCACAGCAAGGAATGTTCCCAACTGAAGCCACTTATTAATTGGTGGATTTGAATTGACATCAAACCTATCTTCACCATACATGTCAGCTTGAAGATGAAGCTTTAAAAAAAATATTATGAGCAAATTGCAGTTCACCATATGTACAACACTGAAAAATAAACCTACCGGTTCATTGAAATTTCTTTTATGTTCTGGAAAATCCCATGGATAGTAAGGATCTTTTGATTCACCAGAGACATTTGGCAATTGAGGATATTCACCAAATCCTAGACCATCATCTGGATAAGGTTTGTATTCTGATGGATGGAGGCCAAACTTTTTGGCAGCAGCTTCTTCTCCTTCTCGGGTAGTTGGGATAGGACCAGGTTTCCAGTCTTTGTTCCAATCTGAGAAATTACAATTTGAATACCCTGATAAATTCAGTTTTTAATTAAAAAGTACCTGAAGTTTGATTTTATAATAAAAATTATCTTTACTTAATCATTTACTATGATGCTATAATAACATTAATAGTTTTAATATAAATAAACTGCCAAAAAATTCAAGTGACAAAATCTACTATTTAGTTGACATATAACATTCTCAACTTTCTAAATTCTGGAATAAAAATTTGAAATTCAGTTATAAATCTATAATTCCTCTCTTTCAACATTTACTTTTCAAATCAATATTAATTGCTTGTAATTAAAGTAGAATTTAAATATAGATTTTTACAATACCATTTGCCAAACATTCCAAAATAGGATTTGAAGATTACACTGTTCTATTCTCAGTAAACCAACACATTAATTCAATGTGAATAACTATAATACATGCTTTAATGACATTATATGAAAATTGCACCGTGAAAAGAAATTAATTAAGAATTACATCTGCATTTCATTATACAATTTATAACTATTAAACACATATGAACTGAAGAACTACAGTGATGTTTCCATATTGCTACAAAAAATGTGTTTAAGGATGTTAAAAGAAACATGAAATATGGGAAAGATATACCGCATTGAAAAATTACACAATCTAATCCAGGGAAAAACCAAATATATGGTGTTTTTTTTAACATTATCATCCTAGCTTCGGCCTTTTTTAAAAAAAAAAGAACACCCACCAGAACTGCCATCACAAAATAACGAGTTGAACGAATTCCAATGAAAAACTTACAATTTCTTACTAATTGTTGAGTGACCGCCCACTGCCGTTGGGTAGCCCCAAAATAAGTACCCTTCCGTATTAATGCCGCCATCACAACCTGAAGTTCAGTGGTTCAGGTCCCTGAATCTGATCTCACAACAAAAAATGGATACAACCAAAGAGTATATATGGATACAACAGCTGACCAGAGAGTATGATAAGCAGCACGAGTGTAATCAGCGCCCTCTGGAATATAAGTTGGCAATTTTGACCATGTAACATGGTAAAAAGGTTGGCAATATGATCAAGGGTGACAACTTTCCGGTAGTACTAAATTCCATAAAATATATATATATATATATATATATATATATATATATATATATATATATATATATATATATATATATATATATATATATATATTATTTGCTAAATTCCTTTAGAAATGAAATATGATTTTGTTTGAGGTATTGAAAAGAGCTCACAGGCCCCATTTTAAAATTATATCATTTCATAATAGAGAATTCAGTAATTATTAATAATTGCGTTTTGTGCCCAGTATTGAGATAATTGCGTTCGTCAGGTTGATGTAAACAGCAGCTCCGGCGAACACAGAGCATGCATGAACAGAAACAAATGCTACACGACCCGCATGTGTGTTTGGGTTTGTTGTTAGTCTTGACTGGATTTTTCGTGTAATACTTGTAACAGTTATCTTGATATAATATTAATCATGTCGATGTATTATAATGATATAGATATCAATTTGAAGCGTATTTAAATTAGTGTGGTGTGAATAGTGTTCGGTCATTAACTGTATTCGCATGAAATAATTTCATTTTTGCGTACTAATACGGTTCCAGTTCGCTGTTACAAAGCAGGCGAGAAAATGGGTGATGGTAAGTTTGAATACTTTCAGTTGCTGTGTGCATTTTTGTATTTAAATTTTAAGTTAGTTAATCATTTGGAATCCATAACCATTGCCTCAAGAATTGGATAATGTTCGTCAGAGCAGCTAATCAACCCAAAGAGTGTTTTGTTTTAAAGATCAAAAAATTTTTGTGTGTTTTATATTTCTTAGATTGTTCTTACAGTGGTCTGAACAAAATAGCTTGACAAATTAACGATACACATTTCAGAAAGCTAAGAACTGGCTTGGTATAGCAGGTTTGCTTAAATGTAGCCTCAAAATAAGATTTTCTTCATTGACCAGCAATTCACTGAGCAGTTTTAAAGTGCTCTAGGGGTCCATTGATCTCAAGAGTAGGAATCACCCTGTGTTGAGCGTAAATAATCATAGAAATGTAGCTTCCACAGGCTTCATTATGATTTGCAACATAATACTGTTTGATGTCAGCCTTTTGCACGTTCCTATAAACAACAAAGGATCATTCCATTCTGGAAGGAAAACCATTCTGACCATCATTACCCAATCACTATGGTTCCCCTTTTCTTTCCTATAAGTGGTGCAGAGTTCGAGCAGGTTTTGTTTTGAAGTGCAGACTCTTGAGTGTACTTGCATGAATCTGTGCACCTACTGTGCATTCTACAAATATTTACAGTGTCTCTTCATGTAAAAAACTTTTAGAGCATGTAATGATTTAGATGCAAGTAAAAAATGTTTTACATTGATTATAATATAAATAACCAAGGCATGTATTTAAATCAATGATAGTATTTGTATATTGTCTTTTAAATGGATATATTATCCTCTGGAATTAAATATGTTAAATATAAAATTGACATTCACTTATTCAAAAGTTCAATGTTTTAATATCAAATAAAAGTAACAAACTACTTAACTACAAACGAATGCCATATATTATTTACATTTTTTCTCTTCACATAGAGTTGTGTCACAGCCAATCCCAAATTTAGAAGAAAATTTCGTTATCCAAGTTTTAATTGCACTTTATATGATACTTTAAACATATTTGGAATGGCAATAATTGGACCTACTTTAATTGTCACTGTGCAGGTTATGCATTATTAAGGTTTAGACTTACATTTTTAATAATATATAAATAGACCAAAATTATTATAGTATAGTAATTATATTATTATGCCAGAAGAATTTTATTATGTATTAAATTCTAGTCTTGTAAACTTAAATAATTATTTCACCTTTTTTGTAAAGAATTTAAGATTAATAGTGAATGAGGATTAGTGTCAAATATTAATGTTGATTGTTGTTTATGCAGAGGATGTGATTAGAAGACGACTTCTTATTGATGGAGATGGTACGGGAGATGACAGGCGTTTAAATGTATTATTAAAGTCCTTCATTAAATGGTGTAATAGTACGAACGAGACTCCTTATGAAAGGTGGGATATTTGAGCATATTAATCATTTTTCTGCTGAATTTTTATTTGACTTAGATATGTAAAATAGAAAGGTAGTAATTCCCTGAAAGAAAAGGTTAAATGTTCAGTCAAATAGTGATGATTATTTGATAGGATTGGATGAATTAGTTCTGATGGTTGTAAGTGATGCAGCATTTTGTCCTTGTTTTCGTAGATGAGGATCAATGAAATAATTGCAACCTTTCTGAAAAATGTTAATGTGGATAAGATTAAAATTATATGTCATATTTTAACCAGAATCAACATAATTTTTTCCTTCATCTATTAGCTAATTGACTTTGACATGCATAATACTTGTCTGGTATGTAGGTCAAACAACAAAATATATTTTTTCATCAGAACAAATTATAATTTCTATTCATAAAACTGTGTTAATAAATAAATGAAAATTGTTAGTAAACAATTTTCCTTTGTGTGGTTTTAAAATGTAATTAATAGTAGGTGAAAAATTAGCATGATAATATGGTGACTGATTATTTTAGATTATGTCAATTAATAATTTGTTTATTGTGCATTTCTTTACAGCCAACTGGCATTGGATCGCATGCAGGCACATCTTGGACAATGTGAATTTGCTGTTCATAAATCAAGGCTTTCAGCCTTAATGAGTGCAGCTGAACAGCAAAACTATGAAAATTTATCACGTCAAATAGAGGAAGGAATTGAAAGTGCTAAAAAAGATATTGAAACAACAAAATTAGAATTTCAGCAAGCAAAGACTGTGAGAAAAAATCGAATTGAATATGATGTTTTAGCTAAAGTGATAAGTGAACAGCCAGATCGCAAAGAGACTGATGAGAAATTGTCTCAACTAAGAAAAGAACTTTCTTCTCTGGAGGTAACTTGCAATTTTTATGATTTTAATTATTGAATGTCATAAGAACATTAAGAGAAATTATTGTTTGTTACTTTTTAAGCTATGGAATCAAAAAATATGGAATTTTATCTTCTGTTCTCATATTTAGTTTTAATAGTCTACGTTGAAATTATTCTACATGGAATTTCGTGATTGTTGTGTCCCTTTATTTTGATTTCTTGCTTTGAGAGAAATGGCATTTCAAAGCTTGAGTCTACCTGGTTAATAGAAAGTAAATAAATGCAAATACAATAAGTTACCCTTGAAATTTTATAATAAAAGGGCAGGAGATAGTACAGCAACTTTTAATCATTTATTTGATTATTACATTATGCTCTTGGAAGAGGAAATACACCAACATACCATTCTTAGTAAATGTGTTGACACAACCAATCAATTTGATGTGGAAATCTCTTGGCTTCACTTAGAGATTAAATTGCACATTTACAAAATATTTAAAGGATTTTTCCAGTTCAAGTTTCTTACTGGAAGGTTAGGCTTCCCATCCCCTTTCTGTTCAAATCATGGAAATCATGTACTTCCAGTGACTCGTCAAACATTATAAGATAAATAACAATCTCCAAAAATTTTCATTTTACTTGTTAACAAAGATAAAAGCATGTCCATAAAGAATTATAAAAAAAACTAGAATTTATTGATATTTAATTTTCTACAATTGTTGGATGGAAATAAAATGTTATTTTAAATATGTTCTAGGACACTCTTGAGCAATTAGAGAGGAAACTTGACATGAGACGTAAACAGTTCCATGTCTTGGTTGCATCTATTCATCAGTTGCAATCTATTTTAGATGATACAGAAAGTGAAGAAATCATGGAATTGTCATTAGATGCATTTGAAGAAGATGATATTACAAATTCTACAATAAAACCAACAGAAATTGAAGCAATGGCAGAGTGAAATATTTATAATATGACATATTCTCTTGTAATTTAAATTAAACTGTTTTTATGTCTACAAGTCATTGCGTTATTCTTATCCATATTGGAAGAGTGATGATAATAAGAATAAAATGATTTAAGTGGTCTCAAAGAGGTTTATAACAAGACAAAATTGTAAGCAAAAGCTGTTCTTTCCGATAATTTTTTTTCTTCAATAAACTAAGTCATTTGGAACTTAAAAACATTTTGACTAATATACATGTTTGAAGACTACTGATGTGTTCAGTAAACCATGCTGTGTACAGAAAATCTGGAGCTGAAGACTCATTCTGTTGCAATATTTGTTTTTGCCAGTCTCAGATCATACACAATTGATCAGGATCAAGTTCAAGCATTGTAATTTGGTCATTATGTACAAGTTCTTTTTTATTATATTTTATAATAAAAAAGTTTGTTTTAATTCCAGACTGTCTAAGAGCTTCTGCAACAAATTCTTGTTTTCCCCTTCATTCTTATAATGGAATGTTTTAAGAAGCGTCTCTAAAATTAACTCTTTTTCGAGCATGTAAAAATTATGTACTAAAATTTGCTTACATAGATTTAGACAATAAAATCAGTCTTTGACAATTACTCATATTTAAAAAAATCATAATTGTAATTAAAGTTGTCAAACAAAACAGTTCAACAGTGACATCAAACCATATAGAAGGCACATTTTCATGACAACATCAAATTGTTGATTCAGAAATCTACAAAAAGTGTGATCCTATGCCTTTTTTAAATTCCATTTAAATTTCAACCCCTTGGTGGCATGTTTTTTTATTATCAAAATTGAGTAAAAGTTTCCTCAGCTTTACCAGTTTTTCTTTTCCCTTCGTTTGGTACTATTATAAGGGGAGAGCACACACATATTGAATGGTCACCCCAATACAGGATGCACCATTTCAATCTTTCTGTGGGATTATATCATTGATCCCAGTGAATAAGCTGATAAGTCATAAACACTTAATTTTACAGGAGAGCAAAAAAAAAACTTTAAACTGAAGTAAGTCGGGTATTTATGATAATCAAACGAAGGTGATGTTCAAACAAAACTATTTGTGTGTAGGTTTTGTTTGAATATCATTAATCCATGATTTACAGCATTAGTTAAAAGATTTCTTTTTGTGCTGTCCAGTAAAATTAAGTTTTTGTTTTTTTTCAATTATCAGCTTATAAACCGGCGTCAAAGATATTAAATATGGTGAAGGGGGTATTCAATGGCTGTGGAGTATGCCTTGGTCGGTCGAACTGACGATTCGGCCAAAGTAGCCTTTTTAGTGTCACTCATGTCGAAGTGGTCGGTTTTGGGTGGCCTGGACGGATGTCCTATACTGCTCAGGTTTCTTGCTGTGACCAGCTGCCTCCCGGAGATAGAGTTGCCATGGATAAAATGGCTTTCAGGACCTCCAAGATATACTTTTTAAGAGCAAATTGTGAATTTTTTACACTACTAAATAGTGTATCACTTTTTCTAGAACGAATTTCCCTTTTCCAGATTAACCAGGTCATTTCTTATTTTTTATTGACAAAGTTTGTGAAGTAGTTCATGGTAAAGAAAATGTTAAATAAAGCATGTCTTTGGTTGTTAAAAATGTTATTGATTGTGCCGTCATTTGTGTGGTGAGGATGGAGGGATCTGTATTAAGTGTCCTAATAGTTGCCGCTGTTAAGGGAAAGACAGACGCAAGCAACTGGTAGCTATAAGTGCCCCTATTACCAGAAGGCGGAACAGAGTTAGATGAATGAGGATCATTCAGCTCAATCTTAATCATTACGAGGCGGCGCTAGACCTGAGTAAGCTGATGATAGACTTCGCGACTTGCGAGCAGTATAGGAATATTAGCGGTCGTCAGTGGGTTTCGGGTGTAACTGAGCTGTGGTGTGGATTTGTGGTAATAGTCGAGTCCGGGAAGTTATGCATACCCCAGATGGATTCGCGTGCTTCAAGGAATTCGGTATGTACATTTATAGTATTTATACCGCTCCCCGTGCGTCGCTTGAGGAGTACAAGGCATTGCCTCATAGATTATTGGACGATGCCAGAGAACAAATGCCTTATTGCTGGGGATTTTAATACACAGGCCACTGAGTGGAGAAGCAACGCAACGAACCAAGTCTCTCAGGCATGGCTCTCCTAGACAGCCTTACCCGTCTCCGCGACTCTAGTAACAGCCCGACCTTTGCCATCAATGGTCGCTGCTCCATCGTTGACTTGACATTCGCGTGTCAAGTCTTGCTAAACGGATAACGCGTGAGGTTAGCTATCATATTATTCGCGCACGTTTTCTTGAGCCCTCGCTTCGCTAGATGTGAGAGGAGTGGGGAGTTTAGTTACTTTGACAAGAGGAATTTTACGTCGAATTTGTAGTTCATTTTTCCATGCAAAATAGTTTTTAATGCACGGAAGCAAACATTCCTCGTCACCAGATTTTGTCCACAACTCTCATTGATATCATGTATTCTTAATGCAACTAATGTTGGAAAAGAAGTGCGGGTAGATATTCCGGAGCTCAAGAAAACTTGCAGATGTAATACACATAGCGTCCACCAAGCTATTGTACATGAAGTCGAGGAAAAATGTAGGTTGAGTTCCGCAAGGGGGAACTTCTTGGAACCACAGGACGTTCGATCGGGATTCTTTCGCTCCCATGATGGAGAGCAACATGATGCTGGTCGGAACCTAATGATTAGGAGGGAACTCCAATGACCCGGGTCTTTGATGCTTGTGATGCGCCAATGACGAAAATCCTCAGCAGAGAACGTCGTCCAGTGAATTGGTGAACTGACAACTCAGATCTTCGCAGAGAATGACACCGCGCACGAAGGGGGGCGCAACGCAGATGGGGTCGCCCAAATTACGATACCCATCAAGAAAGACGTGGCCGCCTGAAGAGCTTTCACAAAAGCCATTAAGATCAGCAAATCTGCTGGAGAGAACTAGGCAACGAGGTGGATGCTGACCCTGAGGATTATCCGTATATGATAACGGGGTAGGCTCAAACTTCTGTCCATGCTACCCTCGACTTGTTAGGTCGTCTTGGAGACGACAATTACTACCATTTCCTAGCCAGAGGGAAGTGTTACTGCCCGTAGAACCGCTTGAAGATATACACGAGGTTCCGGCGGTTTCATTAGGAGAACTGTCAAGGGCTTGCGATAAGGTTGAAGATTGCAAAGCCCCCGGCTTGAATGGGGTGCCGAATGTTGATATTAAGATCGCTATTAGGACTCGACCAGATCTATTCTTAGAGGTATATAATGCGTGCGTGTGAGAGGGGAAAAACCCGCGAGAGGACTTCCCCCGTCGTTGGAAGCAACAACAGCTGGTCGTCCTTCCGAAGGACAATAAACTTCTTAGCGACCCGTCTGCATATCGGCCTATGTTTGTTGGATATAACAGGCAAGGTGTTAGAGCGCATCATCTGCAATCGGATTGAAACATATACGAAAAAACAGACTTTCCAATAATCTGTAGGGCTTGAGGAAGGCGAGATCCACAGTGGACGCAGTTTGAGCCGCCATTGGCATAACACGCAAGGCTGTTGAGAGGAAACGATGGCGAAGAGGCGCAAAGAGGTATTGTGCAATTTTTACCCTCGACGCCAGGGATGCTTTTAATACGGCAACGTGGAGTTCCATACTTGCTGCGTTGAAAAATCTGGAGTTCCGAATTACATAATGAACTTCTTCATAAAAAGCTTTGAGAAAAGGATTTTCCTTTATGAAACAGGGACCGGAGTAAAGACGTAGTGTAATATGTCGAGTGGTGTTTTTCTCGGTACACGGCCTGCCATTTTGCGGAATATTATGTATGAGTCCGTTTTGAAGCTTCAGCCGCCTGTGTCAGATGCCAGGGTAATTTAATTTAATGTCAATATTGTGGTGGTAGTTGTCTGCAAATATACTGAAGTGGTCACGCAGGGTGCTAATGAGTCTGTGACTGCGTTTCGGCGGTGGCTAACGTCAGTGGGGCTCCAGATGTCCGATCCTAAAATAGAGGCTGTTTTGGTGACAGGCAGAAAAATGAGTCTCTAAAATACTCGCCCAGATTGACGCGAGACTGCGCTTCGACAAGTACTTGCTTACAGTCCGCCAGATAGCGTCGCGCATGGTCTCTTCCTTGGCACGAATTATACGAACGTTGAGAGTCCAAGGCAAAATAGGCGCAGGCATCTGTCTAACTCTTAACTCTATGCTGCTCTACGCAGCCTCCATTTGGGCTGATGCCTGTGCGATCCACTCGTACGTACGTGATAAGAAGTCAGTGTAAAGATGATCCGCCTTGATGGCTCAGGCGTTTCGCACGGTTTAATATGTCGCTGTGTGTCTGAGTTTGTCGACTTGCCTCCTATAGACCTCATGGCACAAGAAAGGGCCAGGATATACCGACGTAAGCGAGAGGGAGCTACAAATAGCGGCATCATAAAGGAAGAGAGGGGGTGACAATGTCGATGTATCCTATCGTCCACTGGAAGATCGACGTTTCGTCTTATCCCTGACGTAATAAAGTGAACCCAAAGGAACCACGGGGTTGTGGATGATTTATTTGACACAGTTTTTAACGGGACATAGGTGCTACCGTTCATATCGACTCCGTTTTCAGTTGGACTGTTGTGACCAAGGAAAACTACAAATAAAATGTTAAGTTCAAACAAAACTGCTGACGTGGTTGACCTCATCTCCATTGCTAATGCGAAATTTGACAGGTAATCGACAATAACAGCCACACAGAATCCCAAGAGAGACCCGCTAAATCCACTTGTTCCCTCCAGGGACCGAGCCAGGGGACCAGGTCTTTTCTTGACGCCACTTCATTGGTTGTCACGCTTCACACTTTAGTATCTGACATTCCCTCCCAAAACAGTACTTAAGATCCAACTGCACCATCCCTCACAACTTTGGGACCAGCTGCTTCAAGGACCTCGGCACTACCACTCTCTTACCTTCCTCTCCGTTCAGAAGTAAAACTCCTGCTTTCACCGATAACCTTCTTCTTCGTAGAAAACGTACTCCATCACTACCCTTAATTCCTCGACCTTCTTGGTCTCCCGTGCCACCACCGGGAAATATTGGGCCTGCTGCTCCATATCTTCTTGTTGGCACTCTTCTGCTGTGTCGAAAGACACATTTGACCTCGCCGGCAACCTAGAGAGGGCATCCGCTTTTGCATGCTGCGTTGTGGACCTGCAATGGTATGAGTACTTCTATTCTGATAAGAACAAGACCCACCGTTGCAATTTTATCACAGTTCCTTATCCATGTAACTTTTTGTCCAGGTGAAAAAGGAGTTTGTGGTCCGGTATCAGAAGAAAAAGTTTGCCCCACACAGAAAGCCATTGAACTTTCAGATTCCGAACACCAAAGCCAAATTTCCTTTTCGATCTCAAATCCTTTCTGTCATCGAGTGATTTTTTATGCTAGTTGAGCGTCTTAGAAGCGAACGCTATCGGTCTCTCGTTGCCGTTCTCGTCTTTCTGTGAGAGGACCGCCCCCACTCCATAGTCTGAGGCGTCTGACGCCACTCTCGCGACTCTGTCTAGTTTAAAATGAAAAAGCTTGGATTTTTTAACTTAAACCAGGGTCTTCTGACATTGCTGCGTCCACACTAATTTCGCCCCTTTCTTCTAAAGCGCGGTGCAATAGACGTAAAATTCGGATGAACTTGTAATACTTAATTTTCCCAATAAGGGCCTTAACCTGTTTCACGTCTTTGGCGGAAGATCTACAATTGCTTGCACATGGTCCTTTGTGGGGGCTGTGCCCCTAAAACACAACGTCATTCTTTAAAAAATCGCATTTCTCTTTATTCTCTTTAAGTCCACTTTCTCTGATTTTCTCTAATAACCTCCTCAGGTTAGTTTCGTGCTCCTGCCGCGATGCCCCTGTGACAATTATGTCGTCCAGATAATTGCTGCACTCGGGAATCTGATCTGTCTGCTGTTCCAAGCACCTGTGGAACAATGCTGCCGCAAAGTGTGCACCGAACGGAAGTCTGTTATAACTAAACACCCCAACGCTATACTGATTACCAGGTTATCTTTGGCTGTGTTATCTAGCGGTATTTGTACACAACTAGGTCTATTTCAGTGAATTGCCTTCCTCCTGGTGAAAAAGAGTTTCCTGCCTGGGTATCGGATATTGCTGCACTAACAACTGCTCGTTGACCGTGCCTTTGAAATCCCATCATAGTCTCACTACCACACTCTGCTTCTTCACTACAGCCAATGGCGTCGCCCACTGGCTCATTGATACTCGTGAAATTACCCCTTGCGACTCTAACCTCTTGATTTGTTTCCACTTTGTCACGTAGGGCCCACGACGTTGTCTCGCCTTATAAAATCTCAGGCTGACCCCCTGCTTTAAATGTAGCTGCGCTGTGAACGTATTGCACTCATCCAAGTCTGACTCGAACACCTAGAGAAACTCGCGCTCCAACTCTTCCACAAACTTCTGACCTTCCCGGACCGAGATGCCGCTGAACTTGTCCACCATGCAGAATCCTAATTTTTTGAAGGAGTCTAACCCTAAAGTGTTCGAGACATTATGCTGTCCACTACGTAAATTTCCAGATTTGCCCTCCTTTTTTGTATGCCACCACCACTACTATCTTCCCCTGTATGTCGATCGGGTTTCTCAAAACGCACTCAACCGTTTGCTCACTTTAACACTCTCAGTGGCTCCCAATGCATATGTATGTACGTTTATAAGTGTCGCGGCCGCTCCCGAGTCCATTACAAAATTCACTGGCACGCCTTCTAGTCCCACTCTGAACATGAGCCAGCCCCCTGAACTCAGAACTGCATGTAATGTGTCCATTACCTCATGCTTCTCTATGTCCCGCGAGCGCGACCTTATTTGCCTGCTCGTGCATATTTACCTGATGTGGCCAATATTACCAAATTTGAAGCACTCCGCACCGCGAAACTTACTTTCTTTCGTGCGTGCCTCATGCCACAATCCCGGCATGACCTCGTCTGCTCTTTACACCTGTAGATTTCTGACCTCTCACTACCGCGACAGCTATCTCTGGACGTGTTTCTGCTGCGCTCACCGTCGGCCTTCCTATCCACCCTCTCTCTCCCTCTCTCTCTCTCTCTCTCTCTCTCTCTCTCTCTCTCTCTCTCTCATTTTTCACTCCGGACACCTGTGTCGAGACCGCTATATGGTGTGCCGTGTGATCTCATGCACTGGTTCAAGCTTCCTGACATCCTTTAATGACGGATCGTTGTTCTTAATAGCCTCCATCTCACTAATCTGTTCACTTGACGTGTTCAGAATAACGTATCTCTGATAAGCGTGTCAGCATACGATTCTCGGCAACCCTGCATTTGAATCGGCACTTTTGCATTTCCCATTAGGTCGGTGACTCACTCCTTTGCCCTTCTCTTTTCCTGACTTGGAAGAACGCATACCTTGCTGCTACCACATGAAGGGGTGATCAAATGTTTATACAATTCTGATTTAATCTCTGCCCCTCAAACTCTTTCACTTGCATATCCGGGAACAAATTCTTAAGCAAATCTTATATGTTTCTCAGACGAACTTAGATAGAAATCCCGCCTTGTGCTATCTACCGTGATTCCATAGCACCTTGATCTTCATCATATCTCTCTACGAAGTTTCCCCATTGTTCTGTATCCACATTGAATGATGGGATTGGGGGCGGCGTACGCGCGCTGGCGGCCAGGCTCACTGCTTCCAAGGCTTTCATTATTTCCATCTTATCCTGCTGAACGGCCTCTTGCTGCTGTCGTAACTGACTTGCCGTGGCTTCCTGTGATGCTACAGTTGCCGCACCGCCGTTTCCTGCTGAAGTTTTGGTTGTTGCTAGGGCACTACTTGCTGATGGTGTGCTGTCTGTTGCTGCTGGAGCGCCGCCTGGTGCTGTTGTAGCTGCTGCTGCAGCAACCTCGCCATTTTGACGGTACTGTCCTCGGGGTTCCCTCCCGAAACGATTTCCCTCGTCGCCATTTTGTTGTGTCCGAGGAAAACAAATAAAATGTTAAGTTCAAGCAAAATAATTTTATTACCACTGCTCTCCGCAGTTCCAGAATCGTTAACCAAATACGAAAGCCATTTAACCAATATGCCAGGAAATCTACCGAAGAGCATACAAGTCAGCAATAATCCGAAATATAACCAAAATTAGAAAGTGCAGGGTCGTTATACAATTACAAATTCCTCAAATACTCGGCTCGGCTAACGCCCTCAAACCCCTAATGCACCATGCCGGTCGCACGCGTCGCTTATCAGCCGCTGCGCCTCCGCCCCTCTGCGCCGCCCGGTGTTGGGGGCGGGCGAGGAGGGTGACCATCCCTGACCGCGCCGACCGCCCTCCGCGCCGTTTGCACCTCGCAGCTCCCCCGATGTGTCTTCTGGCGGGACGCGCGAACTCTTCCCGCAGCCGGTGAGCCTCTAAGTTAGTGGCGGGCAGCTCAATTAGTCGAATGGAAATGGAATCATCAAACCCCGTCCCGGATAGCCCAGTCAACATTTCAAGAGTCCTTTAGCGAATGACACTCGAAAACTTTCTCAAATTCGTAAGCATTGCACTTCCATAACCTCAATTGCTATTTATAAAATACCTGACCAACTATTAAAAAAAAAATACAAATTTCTGAGCGGCGCAAAAACAATGAAGCTAATTAATAATTGTTTCAATCATTAGGAAGTTGGATGATAAAAATTAGATGTACTAGCTCTCTAACAGTTGGTGATACGATGCAAAATCAGTAAGGCCGCTTGCCCACGCCGCGGCAGAAGCGCGCGAACGTCAATCATCAGGGCTCTTCGCCGACCCTCCGGCGACGACGGACAAAGGGACCGCAGCAGGTACCTGCTGCGGTCCCTTTGTCCTTCGTCGGCGAAGAGCCCTGATGATTGACGTTCGCGCGCTTCTGCCGTGGCGTGGGTAAGCGGCCTAAGGCGAATTCCTTAGAAGCAAATTTAACAAATAAGTGGCATTTAATTTTTCTCATCTCTGTTTGCTGAATAAAAAAAATATATACCTATGGTTGCTTGTCAAATGATTAAACTGGTTAGTAATTTTATAGCTGATAAAACATAATTTACAGTCATTATCACAGTAATAAAATATCGTTTATTGATCTTTTCAGTTCGAAAAGTCTGTTTACGGAAGTTGCGATGCGAAAGCGCACGGATCACAATGCTGTGACTGGAGGGACGCGCGGCCAGTTTATGTACGTAGTAAAAGAGTGACATCGGTTCGCTGCCAAGGAACGCAAGAAAAGCAAGCGAGGGCGCTCCATGGGCGCTCTTTGATTTGAAAATGATTTCATATACCTCGATATTGTTGTAATATCTCCAAAATTTAATTAAATTATATGAAAAATGTGTATTTCTAACATATTATCATTTTTTTCGTTTATCTGCGGATTATGCAGCCGATCTACCTAAGCACGAGCCACCACGGATCACATGCTTTCCTAACATGTGGAAAAATATTTTGGTTCTATAGTCAGAATTGAGGACCCTCGGTTTAATAAATTTAATTTTAATTGATTTATTTACTGTTAAAAAGCAATTAAAAGTGTAGCCTATATGATATACATCAGAGAATTGTAAACTGCGCTCGTTTTCTTGACCTCCAGAATATTCCCTAGTGAACTCCAGAATTATTTCAAATTTAAATAATTAAGTACATTTCGAATTTTTTTTAGAAAACCATGTTGTGAGAGTGAAGATTTTAGAAAATTTTCTATTAAATTAGAAATAAAATAAATGAATCCCATTTGAAACGGGAAATGTGAGTCGTGACTACGTCAAAATGAAGATATAAAAATACCAACAAACTATGATCCTGAAATTTAAATTGAGACGTCACCGAGCGAGTCACTTATTTAGATTAGAAATTTTGTCAACTCTGTAGGGCGTCATCCTGCATTCGTACTTTCGTACGGAACATTGTTGGTACGGTATCTCAGTGCATCTTTGGAAGTTCCGGTTCGGTGGACAGGGATGTTGAGTTAATGACACACTAAGATGTGCAAAAAAATCTTTGAGACAAAGAAATTGACGTATATTGTGTATTGCCTGCAAGACATGTAAATTATATGTATTTTTACAATGCTCCACATTCACCTGTGGTTGCGTCATTTTAATTACGGTCAACAGGATGGACCGAGAGTATAGATTCCAAGACGAAATGACGTAAAATCATACGATGCGACGCGGAATCCCATTGGTCGCTGGAAGTGTGGTGATCGCCAGTGATCGTGAGTAAATCATGGCGGACCCAGGCGGGTGGTCAATTCCACAGCCAGAAATGTCCGATTTTGACAGTGGTACCGGTTTTGGTGCGAATGATGCCTTCAACATCAACGACCTTGGAGGTTTAGACGGTAAACATGTTATATTTTTCTTCAATATTAACTGCAGGTTTATTGTATATTTTGTTTTTTCCGGGATACGCAGAAACGCGTATCAGATGCGTATTAGTTCTTTTGATTACTTTTCTCATATCTCAAGTGATTGCTTCTGTGAAGTTACGAAATTCTAAGTGCGTTTGTATGTCTCAAATACAGTGGTACTTCTATGTATGGAACATTTCTAGTTAAAATAAGCGAGGTTACAACTCGTTGACATGACGCACGCGAGGGTTCCCTGTTATTCCCACGTTGGTTGATATACTCTGTGTTTTTGTTTGCAGATCTAATCACCAATTGTGAAACAGAGCTATTCTCGAAGAATGGCAATTTGTTTACTGATGATGCCTTGCTGTCACAATTGGATGATCCCTTACGTTTCGATGAAGATGTGAACTTGGATTTTCTCGGTTTACCGAATAATGTCACGTTTACTGCTGAGTCTCAGTCGCCGGTCGATTCAAAGCAGAACATTATAGTACCATCATTTACAAATGCTAACATTACGACGACTCAACCAAATTCTCTAATATCTACAAATCTTCAACATCGTCAAACATTAAAAAACCAGTCTGCTGCTGCATCTGCCCCTACAGTTGTCGCATCTTTAAGAACATCGCTGCCTTCTCAGATACAGAAGTCTAATGCTACAGTATCTGTTCAAAATGCTGCCCTTGTGGCTCCTTCCAATATTTCACATCAACAGAATAAACACATGACCAATTTAAGAAATGTTCAAATGAGGACACAGCAGCAAATAAATTTACAAGCTACTGCTATTCAAAATTCACAGTTACAGTTTCAACTTCAGACCTTACAACAGCAAGTAACACAACCATCTTCAGCCCAGCAGGAATCTTCTACTATTAAGCGCCCTGTGCAGAAAGTTACCCCACAAGCTCAGCAACAGTTACTAACATTGCAAAGTGTGAGCCCAATTACTACAGATAAAATGCAACAGGTATGTAATTGTTAATACACAAGTAAGAAGTGTAATCGTGGAGCATGTTAAAAGAATTAGGAAGATCAATAGTTTTTAATTAGCCAGAATGGTTATTAAAGTATCGAGATTAACTTGAAACAATCCACATTAGTTTTTTGCCACGTTATGTTTTATATTAGCTGTTGGATTCTGAAATTGTGGCGTGTCCACTTTTTTAATTAGAGAGTGAACATTTTAATTGTGCCATTATCAATTTTTGAATAGAGTTCTCAGGATTTTAAACCTTTTGTTTTTGTAGCATGAAGATAATAAGGTAATTTTATAATTTAATAAGATGATAATATGATGATTTTTGAGGGACACATGATAGTTTTTATTAAAGGATTAGATTTTATTGTGATTTTGTTAAAATTCCAAAAATAATTATTCATATTGTAAGAAAAGTAATGATGGCAATTTATAGGAAAATTAACAGGTGTGATATTCTAGGTGGCAGTAGACACTGAGGAAACCTTTCCTAAAGAAATTTTTTAAATAGTTTTCTGGATCGTACTCACAGAAGTTTAACTAGTTAAACCTTTTATAGGTTTTGGTTCCTGCTCAGCTTATCAAGTCTGAATCCCAACTGAATTCAGCTGTTATGTATACTACAGCTGCAGTAACAGGTGTTACAGCCACATCTACAGGAACACCCAATGCAACACCAGCAGCAATTCATACACTGGTTAACACAGCCCATGGAACAATCCTAACTCCAGGTATACTTCTAGTTTGAGTATTGTTTTGGGTGTCCATGTGCAAGTGTTTTAATTTACGTTATCATCTGTAAAATTCTTGTTTTCTTGTGGACTTATTTCTTGTTTTTTACTGGTGGACTTAGAAAGCTCTATTTTCATTCTCTTCATTAAATATCTTATTTAACAGAGATTCAAACTTTGGATAAGACAAAATTAGTGTCTTCCTAATAATGAAGAAAAGCTTTTGAAACTTCAACTCATGTAGGTACCTTAACTGTGTTGTGTTAATTTATTTTTATAGATTTATATTTTGTGGTCGAAATTGTTATAATGAGGGAGTATCCTGTTAACACTATCATACATGCTACTTGTAATAAAATTATCCTCTAAAACTATAATTATTATATGGAGGCAATGCTGTTGATGAACCTTTTCTTTGAGTGATCCAAGCATTAAATCACATACTGTAAACAGCTGCATACGAACGATACAATCAGTGAGCAATACAGTGATTTCATTGCTGTACATACATTATCTCATTGATGTTATATTTAGCGGTTATTGCAGCTGGTTGTGATGTCTGGCATGGCACTGGACATGTGCATTGAGTGGCTTCTGTTAGATTACTATGCTAAAAATTTAAAATACGATTTGGCCATTTCTTAGAATCTTCTGGATGGATTCTCAAACAAATCATCGGTTCTCCACCAGGAGAATGACATTGATTGACACCTCATTTGTCTTGATTGGTGGAGGGGAAAGGGTCTAACTGTGAGTGACAATCAAACTGACAAGGCACACATGGACAGATTACTCGAATACTATAAGCTATAACTTGGCAGGCGACTCCATTACTATATAAAATTTAAGGCAATGTAAAATGTTTCCCCTTTTTTTTAAATTGGTAAACGTTTTGATTGTAGGCATTCCTGTGGTGTTGGATGCTGAGAAGTTGCCCATAAACAGACTGACTGCCATTGCTCCACAACCCAAAGAGCCACCTAAAATGAAAGAAGGGAAGAGAAGTGCTCATAATGCGATAGAGAGGCGATATCGCACAAGCATAAATGACAAAATTATTGAGCTGAAGAACATGATCGTTGGAATTGATGCCAAGGTGTGTGATACATCTTTTAAGAAAATATTTCCTTTTATTTTCATTTTTATGTCAAATGTGACTGGAAGGTGGTACCTTACCTGGATAGACTACCACTACTCCTGTGGGGGGAAAACATAAAGTCCTAGTATTCTTTGTCAATAATTTGTATACATTCTGTATAAACAATAGAAAACGTGTAGGTATGACAGAAACTTCTGTGGTTCCTTTTTGGTGCTTGTGCTGTCATGTAAATGGCCATTGATGTTGGCCACATTGCGAGTGTCGCAACATTGACATAAAACCATCGAGGTTTTTCAACATGATTTTTTTAGGCCCCATTCGCATTCTCTAACATAATATGTGCAATAAAATTTAATATGACTGTTTATATTTATCAATTTGCCGAATAAGGGTATGGTAAGAAGGTGCTGTCTCTACGTGCACAATATACTTGTAGGCCGTATCTCAATTTGCAAAATGAATGTGAAGAGGAAATACAATGGTATAGAGGTCATCTCGGGCTAGAGAGTTTGGTCGTTGTAGATAGTGTAAAGCATTCCTTCGGTTCAAACATAAATAAGTGTTACTATCAGTTATTTCATATTTTTACAGTATTGTGAACATGGGAATTTGTCATTCAGAAACAAAATATTGGAAAAGATAAATATCGATGACAAAACATTGATGTCAATAAAACATTGGTGTTAATACATCAATGTTTTGAAAACATTGACATCGATGTCGCATCCTTAGACATGTGGCATTGCACATGCTGTCAATTTGTCTTATGTTTGCACATTGCTTTGTCTTTAAAAACAATGTGGATTGCAATAAAAGATTACAAAAGGTTATCTCCCAATGGCCTGAAAACATGATCGGTCTTGGGCAAGAAGCTTTAATATGTTTTATTTGCTGTATATTTTATCTATTTTGAAGAAGTCCTTTTCACCTGCTAATACCAGTTTTCTGTTCACACTCATGCCACAGTAAAATGTGATATTCATATTGTGTGTTTCATCATTGATGTAATTATTTTCCATTGACCTGTGAAAACATACAATTGTTAATGTTCTGCTACTTATTTCTAATTCATTTGTAATTAATAAATTCAGTATTTTTGGCATTGCTATTACAACCAAGCATGAACACCATAAGTGTATTCAAAATGTCTGCAGCTATACTTTGCTGATAGCGTATTTTCTCCACTACTTTTATATCCTCCTAAAATTCTGTAGTTGCTTTTGCTTAGTGCTTCAAGGTACTATTTCCCCTTTGTAAACTTAGACCAAAGAGTCAAAGTAAATTACAATCTGATCTAAATGGGTGAAAATAGGTTTAATTTTTTACTTTGTCATTCTAGTTAAACAAGTCAGCAATTTTAAGGAAAGCAATTGAGTATATAAGATTTCTCCAGAATTCCAATGCAAGATTAAAACAAGAAAATATGACTCTAAAAATGGCTGCACAAAAGCAAACTTTGAAAGATTTACTGTCAACTGACACCATGGAAACGCAAGAGGAAACAAGAATGCAAGAATGTATTTCTCCATCCTCAGATCTTCTTGCACCATCACTTACTCCACCCCATTCAGATGGTTCTCCACCTTCCTCTCCAGAAAATTGTACATTTACAACACAGGTAGGTAACTGTTGCAACGCAAGTGCTCTGAGAAGGATATAGATGCTTTTACAATCTGTTTTATTGGATAGGAAACATCTTTATAGTAAGGGTTTAGGAAGATTCTATAGGGGTCTTTATACATTTTAGAGAATTTTACCTTAAAATAATTGAGATATTGCATTAGAAATTTTGCTTGCAAGATTTAGATAGCTGCACTAGCATGAATTTTTTCTTCTTTTTTTTTTCTGTAGAGTTTTAATTTAGTACGTTTTGTCTATTTTGGTCATTATAAATCTTCAAACTGGGTGTTTTAGATTAAAGAGGAAGAAGATGAACCCATGTTGAGTTTGAATCGAGGAATGCTGGACCATACAAGAATGGCTTTGTGTATGGTAATGTTTACTGTTGTGGCAGTTAATCCTTTTGGTATTGCCCTCAATCGGTATGTGGACTCGAGAGGGGATTACTCTTCTCATGTTGAAGGAAGAACAATTCTGAATGTTGATAGTAAGTGATGTTTGTTTTCCTTTTATAGCAAATGCTAGTAGTATGCAAACTTCATTATTTTATTATTTTTGATAGGTGGTGATAATAAAATATGGCAATGGGCAAGTTCATCTCTGTTCCTGTGGCTCTTCAATTTTATTATTCTGGCATTTTGTCTTATTAAAGTACTTGTTTATGGAGATCCAGTTGTGCCTTCGAAATCTAAAGCTTCAGTTGCTTTCTGGAGACATCGAAAACAAGCTGACTTTGATATGTCAAAGGTAATTGGCATTTGTGTATTTTGATTTAGAGGTTAATTTTTCCTATGATATATGTGAATACTCATCTAATCTTTTTCTGCTTGAACAAACAAACTAGTAATGTTTATATTAAGGATCAGTTTTTTTATCAAATGTTTTTATTGTATCATCGATGTTGTTACATTCATTTCATTTTAGTGTTTTCCGCCAACTGCCTATAATTTTTTTACTTTTTTAAACTTTGTTACTCTAATTCTTTCAAACATGTAAAGAGACTGTTCATTAAAATTTGATAATTTAGGTTTTGATATGAAGAAATTAATATTTGGGGATTAATTACAAAGTTAACCATGTGACCATAACTTTTTTGAACCTAGTTGCTGTTTTTGGTAATAAAGTTAATCCAAACTTTTATTTTTGTATTGAACATTTGTACCATTGCATATCTAATCCATTACTAAAAGGGAAAAGGGAAAAGCCATATTTGTATATTTATCCAAAAAACTTTTGGTAAACCTGGTGTTATTATGAGAATTGTCTAAAAATACAACATACATGTTGTTGTAACATTCCTATTTATTAAAATATTTAATATTTGATTTCATTGCTTCACTTGAACAGCTTTTTGTAACAACTTCTTCTTTATTTTTGATAACTTTCATGTATGCGTCACGATGGATGGCCATTTGTAACATTACTATTTATTTCTACTAATTCTATCAATGTAACTTCTCATACATTGCCCTGCTATGCTCTGCAACTCTCTCAATGTTAAAATAATATTATATTAATTTCGCTTTGAAACTGAAACATGGATTTTGACATACAACTGTCCTCGTCTTACCTGCTGCATGTGTGTGTGTAATTCCAAACAGAATCAACATTCCTGAAAGTACTTCAGAACAAACTAATATTTATATTGATGGCAACTACTGTGAATTTTCAGCCTTTCCTCTTTTCAAAAATCAAATTTAACATTTATTATAACAATTTTACAGAATGTTTTAGAGCTCGTGAATTAACAGGATAACTTTCTTCAGATATACAACATAAATGTACCTTACGATTTTTAAATAAAGTTTGTAAGCTTACTGCTGACTTCTCGGCTGTACTATCTTGGCTGTTGCAGTTGTCCAAGGGATGTTCATATTGCTCCTGTTAGTGTGTTTGTATCTACCGTCTGAATAAATGACCAAATGTTCCCAGAAGGTCCTCGACTATTTTATACTTTTTATAATTGAATGATTTCTATCAAATTTACTTTGCGAATGCAACTGACCCATGCTGAGCTTCGGGTGAAATCCCTATGTGCAACTGTCTATCTCCTGCTGACTTGTATAAAAAATCTTTCCTGTCTATGGAGCTATTCTGACCTAAATCCCTTTCTAAATATGAATTTTTTTTGACTTACATCTCAGATAAATTACCGAAATTCACAATTATAATTTAATTTTACCAACACCTGGCAACTAGTACCCTGCAGAATGCTAATTTATCAACTTTAATCATCTACCTGCTTCAGTACTATTTACAAAGAAAACAAACATTCGCATCACACCAATTGCTTACATGTGTCCTGATCAGCAGATATCAAGAGTGAATATTTTCACCTTCCCACACAATCAAGACTTTAAAAGGTAACTTCCCATTTATCGCATCTTGTGTATTTGGGACCTGTCCAGCGCTGTGACACTCAAACACAAAATACACACACTTTGTTGATTTGTTACCCTAACGATGTGTATTCTTTGAATCCCAAGCCTGCATACAATCGTATTACACCCATTTGTTGTTTTTTTCCTCCATTCAAATTAAACCTAGAGTTTCTAGCTTATCACATTATTTCTATTTTCATTTTTATTATGATCATTATTGTAGTAATTTGATGAATTGATATTTGAAAGGGTGACAATGCTGCTGGCAGCCAAGAGTTGAGGAGATGTTTACAAGCATATGGGCGTCCACTGCCTGCTTCGAAATTCGAATTATTGTCAGCAACTTTATGGCAAATAAATCGGCAGATATTACATAGACTATGGATCGGAAAGTGGTTGTCTCGCCGTATGGGAGGATTTTTCATTGATAGGTAAGGCTTTAAAAGAAATGTAAGTTAAATGAAGTTGGGATTTCATAAAGCTTGAAAATAAGCTGTTTGAAAAAAAATAAGACTTTGAGTGTAATTTTTAATTCCATTACAAGATGTAATATTTTCAAATATTGTGTAGGACATCCAGAAAGTAAGTTTCCCTATTTTGTGAAATAAAAGAAAACATAGTTATGTGCAAAACTTTATTGGCAACAGGTTCAGCAATGTTTCAGCTATTTTTCGACATAGTCTCCTCACGAATTGAGATACTTGTCATATCGTGATATTAACTTTTGTATACGAGTTTGAGGTGTGCTGCCTGCCACTAGAACTTGAGTGACACAGTCGTAGTAATGAAAACACTTATGGAAGGACAGGAATGTCTTCCTGTACAGAAAAAGATGAAAATTGCTGGGTGTGAGATCAGGACTGTAAGAGTATGCTCAAACAGCTCCCACCTGAACTGATGCAGAACGATTGCTGTTTGACATGCCATATGTGAAAAGCATTGCCATGGAGCAGTACAATAAGCATGACAACACCTGCAGTTAGCATGCCGAGCATGTCAGTAAGAGCTGACAAATTTCGATCTGCGTGATGTGTTGTGCATTGAGGAACTTTATCAAGGACCAAACCCCCCAGACAATGGGAGAACGAATAAGTGGCACCGTTTCAAATCACTGCTGCTGTGCTACTGGCACTTGGCATGACCTGTCTGGCTGGCGCGTGATTGATACATCAAAGATTTGTTACACATGCACAATTTTCCTGCCTCAATGTGTGTACTTTCAACAAAAAAAAAATTAAAAAACAAAAACAAACTAGGGGATTGCTTTCTGGATGCTTCTCGTAAATTAAAATATCTTTTTAACTTTGGTATTTCTTTGTGTTGTGTAGTTCCGCACGCCGAGAAGTAATGAGTTCAGCCAAAGAGCTTTCGGTTGTTTATCATCGTCTTCATCAGTTGCATCTGGTTACTAGTGCTGGAACGGACCGTTTTTCTGGATTAATGCTTGCGTTAAGTGCAGTCAACATGGCAGAAACTTCATCCGATTTATTGTCTCCAGAAGTAATGGCCGATATTTATGTTGCTGCTGCTCTTCGCATCAAAGAATCTTTTCCTACTTTCCTGCAATTACTCGTCAGGTTTGTTTAAAAAATATTTACTTGATTGGACCATTTGAATTTTAGATATTCTTATCCGGAAAAATTCTTTCAAGAAAGTGTCCAAAAGAACGTGTTTCTTAACTGAATAAAGTTTCTTTCAAGAATTTTTTCCAAGAATAAAATCACTAACATTTTTAAATACTTTATTTTTTTTCTTGTTGGGAAATGTGGGAAAATAGCCTTGGAGGATTTTGAGTTGAAAATGAGTAGAAAAGTTCTTATTTTATGTCAGGATCATTATTCAAATAGTTCCACTTCATTTTACATTGTGGCGTCTTGCTTCACTATGTAGGTGGAAGAAGGGTAAACATCTGGAAACTGCAGGGAATACATTTAGGTGACCAGCAGCCATCCTCAATTTGCAAATGCAAGTAGATGGGTGGTATAAAATTTTTCTCTCACATAATTAATTTTTTTTAAAAGTTGGTTTTCACAATTTTGTTTGGTTGAAAGTTCAGTATTATAAAATTTTTAAGTTATTAATCATAAAAGTTTTGCATTCGTTATTCAGGTTTTGTTGATGCAGAATGTCACATGAAATAATGCATCATTCAATATTTTTCAAACACCACTTTTCATATACAACTTTCTTTTACCACTTTTCTAAGTATGTACAATTACATTATTCAGTTGAATTTCAGCAAGTAAGTTTTCTTTTGTTTCAGATACTATCTTTGTTTGGCCCGAAATGCCTGCACCAAAGGATGTAGTCAAGTTCCAATGCGTCTCCAGTGGCTCTTCACTGCTTATGGTCACAGATTTTTTGTCTCTCAGCGTTGGTCATATGGGCCTGTCTCTGGATACTTGTTCAGTAGCTTGGGAAATAAAGCTGACCCATTGTCTTATGTGATGCAATTTTACCGGGAACATCTGCTTGAGAGGGCTTTACAAACACTGGTTGCACCTGGAGGCCGACTGGAACATTGTGATGAGGAGCCTTTGAGACGAACTCAAACAGCAGATGTATTAACTTACGTTCAGCTACTAATGGAAAATTCTGTGAACACGGGAACTCAGATAGAGAAGACTACTTCCTTCAATTCATCAAATATTCACGTTTCAAGTATGTTAAATTTGGTGTACTTTTCATGGGCATTGATAGTTTAATCCACATACAACAGAGCTCTTAAGTAATATTGATTATTTACACGGCAAATAATCCTTTCAATGTTTTAAAATTTGATTTCTTTTGGATGTTTAATTAAAATGTACAAATGTTATATTTGAGACTACCATTCCATAGAAAAATAACATAATGCAAAAGAAAGTATAGTTTAAATTATGATAGAGATTTATATGACAAAAAGGACAAGTGTGAAAAGTTAAATTAATTTATTTTTTAGGCTTTGTAGATGAAACTGCTCATTGGTGGTCAGCTGTGCTTGGCACAGCTGCCTATTGGCTTCTGGGTGAATATAATCAAGCTGAAAGATTGTATGCACGAGTTGAAGCTTTGCCTGAAGCTCTTGAGAAATTAAATGATCCTCTTCCAAAAGCCATAATTGCTGCCTTCCGTGGACGAAGGGCATCCCTTGGCTTATTGAAGCCACGAAGATCCTCGCTGACTGCCAACAACAAAACCGTGTTGCGTCTGTGCAATACTGCTGGACAACTTCTGGATGATAGCCTTACATTAACAAGTTGCAAGCCTGTCAATAATATGGTGTTGGTGAGTAATGATTACTCAATGCTGTTATATTTAAATGTTATTTCTTCTTTATTAGCTCCTGACTCGATGTGTTCTGAGGTGCATTGTAGTTGCATTGCATGCTTTTCAAAACTGCAATACTTCTACAGTGCAACCTCAGCGCACATCACTGCCTTCAGATAGTAAGTTGCACTACTGTAAGAAGTGAAAATGAATCGCTGGGTTTATTTGTTGTGAATATTAATGTGATCCTAGTTTAAAATTGAACCATGGGTTTTTCGAAACTGTTTAAATTGAAATTATTTATGTGAAGAATGTATGAAGACATCAATGCATGAATATTAAGTTCAGTCTGGATTACCATGTTTATCTAAACATAGGTAGACTGAAAATAAAATAACACCCTAATTTTGAAGAGCCCTGAGAATATTTTAATTTTTAACTAATTTTACTATTTAGTCAAAATAAAATTGCAAATTGTCAAATAGGCTTGTAAATTTTCTTGTTGATGAGAATGTTAAAAACTTCTATCATGAGCTATGGCTACTTCTTGTTCCTTACAAATCATCATGGTTTCATCACTTCTCTCTTCCTCTTTGCATGATTCTTTCTTTCTGCAACGCTGTGACATTTTAAGCCCCCTCTGAGTTTTGTGCATTAAATTTACATTCTTAGTTCTTCATCTGACACCACCTAAGAATGTTCCTTCTATGTCATCAGATTTTAATCCAGTCTTGCTTATGATTGTGACCTCTCTTTAAGGGAGCATATTTCAAATTTGCATCGTAAATGATGTCTGTGTGATTGAGTTGTGAACTGCGAATTCATTCATCTCTGTACCTCTAATTCATGGGTAATGTTTGATAAGGCAACAAGTTTCCAGTTTTGGGAAATTTTTTCCCAATAAGTTTTCAATTTTTTTTATGATCCATTTCGGTTTGGATATAGGTTGCATACTCCTATCAATGTACGGTTTTTTTGTTTCCGTCTCTTGCAACATGCAGATTCGCTCTCCCCAGCCAACAAACTGAGAGTCCGGATGGCCTAAAGAATTCGAGCTTTATGTAACAAAATCTTGGCAATAATTAATATTCATTTTCATGTTGCATTTCATTTGATACAGTGCCATTCGTTTGAGGATTCTCTTTACCAGCCTACTCAAGTATAAGGGTATGAATCACCTGGCAAATTTGCAATATATTCCAAGTAAATGTCAACATTATAATTCTGTATGAAATATATGTATGATATTTTTATTATCTCTCAGCTTTTTGTTTTGTCAACATTTATGATTTTTGTGACATGGAATGTCAATATTAAAACATAATCCTATCCAACTAGGCTTAGTCTTCAAATATAAGATGACACCATATTTTTGGAATGAAATGTTTAGAAAATAACCTTGCATTGTATTTGGGTACATATGGTACTTTGCCTGAGGAATTTATTACAAGAACAGATTAAGTTGATAAAATATAAAACCTTTGATCTTCCACTAAATTAAATTATACACACCAAAAAATTGTCAATAATCAATGACAATTCACATTCAGACTTTAACAGTTACAAGACTCTAAAATCCCAGTTTTCTGACTACACTTAACCAGCCATGAAAAGTTTACTTCCATAATTTTCATTATGGGCAGTTAATGAGCGGTTGTCACCTTCACTGTTCAGTTTAGGATGCAAGGTTTAATTATGTTTAGGATGCAGGTTTAATTATAACAAGAAAAACGTCACAGTTCTAGATAAGCTATGCATTCCATTACGAACAAGTTGCTGGTACGAAATTGAAAACTGCTACTTTGAGTTGTCTTATGGAGAGAATTAACAAAAATGTTGTCTTGTCACTTTAGTTTAAGCATTTATATATTTGGGGTTTGATCAATTTTGAAGACTCATTTTAGGAAATTTAGAATAATGTTAAATGTGAATTTTAGTGCTAACATAATGTTGTATTTTTGTTCTTTGGTCATAAAAACTATTACTTCTAATTTAATATTTGTTAGTTATTCAAAGTAAACATGATTAAAGTTTATATGGGAACGAGACAAGTTTAAGACATGGCAAGTAAACTCTTTATTTTAATGTAATAATTGTAATTCTATATTTACCCAAATATTGGTTAAAGTTTTGCCTAAATATGTCATTCCAAAATTAAAAGATGTCTTGTATTCTTGGATTAAGTGTGGCTGGTTAGGGTTTACACATTTTTGCGTTGCCTTTCCATTTCATGAAATCATAAATGTTGAATTAACAATAAACTGTAAAGACAGTAAAAATATTGCATGTATCTACAATATGTAATTGTTTTTGCAGTTGTTATCTTGGCATGAACCTGCAAATTTGCAATTCAGACTCACATTTTTGAATGAGCTGGTAAGGAGATAATCTCAAATGAAGGGCATTCTATCAGGGTAAATGTAATGTGAAAGCAAATCAAAATTCTTGCCAAGATTGTTATATGATGCATGTTAAGGTACTGACAAATCCATGCAGATCCTTTGTTCTATGTCTAGTGAGCATAAAGCTGCAGTAATTGGACTTCTAAAAATTCGCAATGACAGAAGTACACTAGCATTCTACATTCAACAGCAAAAAAGAATGATAAACACAAATTTTCTCACCAAAAACTTACCAAATTGGAAACTCACTTCAATCTCAAATGTTACTCACAAAATGGAGGACCTAAGATGTACAAGTTGGCATTTCACAACTTGATCACACAAACATTTAATGACACAAATTCTGAATGTTAAAGAATCCAAGGCTATGTTGTGCCAGAAAATGTTCTTGGGTAGTGTTTTTTGAAAGAGTATAAAAGCAAATGCAACATGCAAAATGGACCTAAAAAGTCAGAAGATGTAGCAGTATGGGAGGAGGACTGAAAATACACTGACACATAGGAAGATCTAAAGGGTAGTGGCAAAAACCAAGATTATAATCATTTTAAAGAACAAGAAAATAATGTTACCTCAGGGATGAGTTATAACTTTAACTCCCAACACAATTTTCTAGGCATTTAGACAATTTGCAATTTATTTTTACAAAATATTGAGTAAGAATTAGTTTAAAATTTTTAAAAATATCAGAAATCCTTTTCTATATTGGGGGGTTGCCTTGTACTCAGTTCGACTTAGTATTTACCCGAATATAAGACCAGTTTTTTTCCGATATCTCGGTCGAAAAAGGCGAGGTTGTCTTATATTCGCAGATTAAGCCTAGTTGGTTAGGATTTAAGGTTTTGCATTGCCATTCCATGTTACGAGACTTGTAAATGTTTACGTAACAATAAACTGCGAAGACTGTAAAATTGCCGCAAGTATCTATTAAGAATGAATTTCAAAAGTTTGTTACTACACGATGCGGGTTCGACGATGCCACGCGGAATCACGGTTCAACGCCCGGCGAATACGAATCAGCGTTTTGAACAGAACAAAAGGCCATCAACAAGTGTGGGACATATAGAAAATCCGGTGACAGTAGGGAATATCCTTAGATGTCGTCTGATGAAAGACAATGAACAAGCCAAAAATTTGTCTGCAATATTTTCAAGAGAGGCCTAAAAAGTCGGAAAACATCACAGCCTAGGACGAGGACCAAAAAAGAAACATTGATGTGAAGATGATGTGTACCCATAATTAAGGAACAAGAAAATAATGGTTCAGCAATAAGCCTTAACATTCTCAACAAATAATTTTTTAGTCAATAAGACATTTTGTTATTTTATTTTGACTAAATAGGAAGAATTAGTTTAAAACAATTCTCTGGAGGCCTCTTCAAAGTGTTGCTTTATATTCGAGGTCGATTTATATTTGGGTAAATATGGTATTTAGTGTTAAACTCAAGTGTCTGCCCCTGTGACCCAGAAGTATGATTGTTTGCTACTGAGGTATTCCTGGTTTTCCCTTTTTGATGGATCTCGCACGATTGTTCATCTTCATTTCTATTTAGGGGCCTATGTTGTTAAGTTGGTTGTTCCCGTTCTCTTAATGGGGTTTTGCCATTTCTTTTGGTATTTTATCAAATCGTAAATGATGTTTGTAATTTTTAGTTTCTTTCTTATTTTGTCTTGTTTGTTACTTTTTTTATTAATCAGAATTACGTCATCTTCTAATTTTCTGTGTGTAAATTACAATTGATACTAGTATTAAAGACGTTATTGTACCTGAGGATAAAATAGTGTTTTATTATAGTCAAATATCGTTTTCTTTATTTCATGGAGAATGTTTTTTGAGGATGTCCCTTTTTGTATAAAGGGTATGAAGAAAATAACAAATTATTACAGAAACTCCTTTGCTGATGTGTAGTGTAGAATTCCATGAGGTATGAAATTAGGTGTCTCATTATGTGTATGGCCCTCTTAAACTTTCATCATGACAACAATAAATAACTTTCTTTTCATTGGTGGAAAACTAATAAAATGAAGTTAAATTACATGTTTATTTACTTCAGACATACAAAGAGAAAAGAATCACTGAACTAACATTGGCACAACATTATTACTTGTACTAGAAGTTGCACTATGTGCATATTGAACCATAACTAAACCAAAAGTGTGATTCTTGTAAAACGCAGTATGCAGTTGTCATCATAATTTCTTATGCTACCTGTACCATATACAATATAAAATGAAAAAACAAGTGATTGGGTCAGCAAGAGAGTCATAAGCCACAATTTTTTGATTTTCATGTTCACTTTACCACCATTCTGAGCAACGCTCTTCCCATTCAGTATTATTGTAGGTTCCTAATCTTTAACCATAATTGCAGAATAACACCTGGTGATTGTGTTGGCACTCCATTGATTGCATGTGTTTGCCAAACATTAAATGAGCTGTACCTCAAACCTCTTTTTTGATTATCTCTCATTGAGCCCTTCAATTATTTAACTGTGTTGGGGAAGTAGTAGGGTAGTTGTGTGAACTGTTAAATGGATACATTTGTGTTATCTAAAACAACTGTCAGAACTACATTTGAAACATTACATATCTATTGATATTAATTTTCCTATACAAAAGCATTAATACAGTAAAAATGTTAATGGGTACTTTTGTCATAACTATACTTATTGGAATTTTACATGTTTAACATTTTCAGTTGGCTCAATTACTCACATGTGATTGGCTTTTGGAAACGAGAACAGCTATGTGGGAGGAAGAGACGCTTGGAACTGAGGGAGTCAATTCTGGAGCACCTCAGGTTTCTGTACCTAGTGGTGTATTAATTGGTTTCCAGAAAGATCTCAGTTCATTGAGACGATTAACAGAATTTGTTCCAGTAAGTTTCCTTTTTGTTTTTGTGTTTGACTGTTTTTATTTGTTTTGGAATACTAGATTATAAGGCAATTTTTTTTTCAGTCTGCTCTTCCAAGAGTGTTTTTATATGAAGCAACTGCTCGGCTTATGGTTGGGGCAGCTCCAGGAAAAACTCAACTGTTACTGGACAGAAGTTTAAGGCATCGTAATAATAGATCCACAATGCTCATTTGTGGGAAAGGTGAGAATTGAAGTAAAGTGCTATAAATTGTGTTGAAAAGTATTGCAGATGTAATAAATTTTATAAATTAGTGTAATTCTTATTTAATAGTAACATGTAAGACTAAGTATAAATGAACTTGGGTTCTTTTATTATAGACAAAGGACAGCAAGAAGGTGGGGGTGAGAGAGAACATGCTGCTGCGCTGTACATGGCATGTAGGCATCTGCCAGCACCACTGTTATCTTCACCAGGGGAGAGAGCAGGCATGTTAGCAGAAGCTGCAAAGACTCTGGAGAAGATAGGCGATAAGAAAAGACTGGAAGATTGTTACAAACTCATGAAGTCATTAGGAGGTAGTTCAGTTACAAACTGATATGGAAAGGGTTGTTTGGCAACATTTTATCAAAACTTATTGACAGATTATGCCTTGATCTTGGAAGTTTATAATTGCTGCAATTTACCAGTGAAACTTGTATTTTTGTTGAGCAAGTGAGGACTTTTTTTTACAATTGTAGATTATTCTCAAGTGCACACATGATTAAGAGCTGAATAATGTAAAAAAATAATTTTGTGTGTGCTATGGATAGCTTGTGACAAATTAAGAATTTATTTAAAAGGAAAGTAAGCCTTTCAGCTGTTACCATATTGTTGACACCAAAATAATGATTTTTGTAAAATCATATATATTTATTTTTGTTGGTGTTGTTCTATTACATATGTTCATTTAGCTTTCATTCAATGAAAACTCATCTTTTACACAGTTTGACTTAAAAGAATTCAATTTAGAAAAATAGCACAATTGAATAGTGATAAGCATCACAGCAAAAATGTAGAACATTTATTTATACTTAAATAATATTTTTTTTATTAAAAGCAAGAGTTTTAATAATTTCTTACTCCTTGTTCTCTTAAGATGTGAAAGAAGTTTGGGAGACTTTCGCATGTGATAATTCTATTGAATTCCAGCAAATGTATTCCATTAAGTATGATCTTGAACAGTATTAAAGTACATCGTTTGTTGAAAGAAAATTAAGGGCATTACAATTTTTTGGAGTTGAGGTTGCTATGGGGTCTCAATTTTGAGGTTTGCATGTTTGGGGCCTGCCAGGAGTATGAATATTGTTCTCTGTACATATTGTCAACTTTGAATTAAGTGAGTGGTGTTAATACATTTTACAGAGTTTGAAAGAACCAGGGAACACACAATAGAAAACATTTGCAGAATAATAAATAATGGGCCCCTTACGCAATTCATTGCGAGTTTTTAATTAATCTGTGTAGTATCCATAAGTCACGATTCAACATTTATGAAAATATTCACTCTATACCACAAATACATGATATATTTATAATTAATATAAACTTCCCCGTGAGAAATTCAACCTTGTTATAGATTAGTTGTTGATAAATGTAGAAATTTGTTTAGATAAATTAGAAATTATATCTACTTGAAGAAATGTGTATTTTGAATATGGGGGAAAGATTTATGAATTAGGTAAATGTTTTTTTATAGGTTTGATAAATAAATTATATATTTTAAATTTTGTAATGCAATCCATTTAATGTTCTTGATCTTTCCATACATTTGTGCTGCCCTAATAATCCAGTCTCCTGGTGCTCAAAAAGGCCTCAATCAGGAAAAAATGTTGCAAGTTTCTTTCTCTCTCTCTCAAGTTGTGTTTTGGGGTGCTGAATTTGCTGTTTGGCATGTCATCCCATAACATGTTGGATTCACAATGAAAATTGCCAAACCTACTAAAAATTTCAAACGTTTTTCAGTTATTCGCTTATATTGACAACCTGCCCTTTGTTGAAATGACAGTCGTGTACAAACTTAAAGAAAACAAAACTTGAGCAATCCATGCTAGAACTTTAATTTTTTGACAACTCTTTTAGAACTGCTCTGATAAACACTGAGTCTTTGGTTCTCTGCCTAACACTGGAGAAAAACTAAACTCCTGTCCTTATCTCATGGTGCCACTCTACAGTTCAGTCAAATTTGACTTAAAATTGTGATAAAACATCCCGAGTTCCGAGATTTGGCATATTAGCAGTTGATAACTACCACACATCATACTTTTAATGGGTAGGTAATCTGAAGGGATGGGGAGGATTAATGGTGTTTCTTTTTATGTTTTTTCTTTATATCTCTACAGCTATCAATACTAAAGAACACTATACCATACAAGAAATGAAAGTAAGGCAAATTTCCTACAAAAATGTTCCAGTAAGATTTTCTTGTAGATTTGACCCTTGAAAGTTACAGGCTTGACAAATTCTTGTTTTCATTTACAAGGACCTATTTTAGTTATCTTTGTTATAATATGTGCAATGCAAGGAGATAATTTTATTTATCAACAATCTATATTTGCATATTTTACGCAAAAAACATGAATGTTTGCAGTGGTGTCTCCTGAAAGATCAGATGGTGGATGCAATAAAATGTAGCAAATAATTTTCATATGACTTGGATAGTCGACATAGACCTAAATGTAATTTTACTTTTTTTAATTAGTTGCATAGTGTCGTGTCAATGTTTACCTTTCTCTATGTGTATACAGCGCGACAATGACCAAGGCTACCAAAGCGATCCGAAATCGAACAATACTTGCGCATTGCGTTCTGACTTTGGCAAGTGCAAGTTCAACGAAACGTTCCTGCTGAGCAGGTGGATCAATCGTGTGTTCTAAGAAGAACATATGTACAAGGACGTACATACACAATTAGTAACATATAAACAGATCTCTAGGTTGTTCAACAGTTTTGCATACACACTACAATTTAATGATGAAATATTGTTTTCAATTAGTGTTGCATCATTTCATTATGTTTGCAGTTGAAACTACTTTCTATATAATTCTCGAATATTTGAACTTTACTGTCTAGAAGTTGGAAGAAAAAGTGCTAAGGTAAATGTACCAATAGTGAACACACAAAGGATTTTCTTTCGTTGTTTCTAAAATTGTGTTTCTTCTTCTTTCCTTATTACTGATGGATATATTTCTGCACCAATCCTTCCTTTACTAATTGTTCACCACTAGCAGACGAAACCAACATTTTTAGTATTGTTTTGTGTTATTATTGTGAAGTTCCAAAATGCTTGAATAGAGGACACCTAAATTCATGGATGGAACGAGTGGTGGTCAGTATCTGACCCAGTAGTGGACATGTCATAAAGTCAACAAAAATATCTGGAAATAAATGCTAGATGGATGGTTGTGATGCATATAATATCTTTAAAACACTATAACTTGATATCATATAATTACTCTTTTATATTTTTTCGGAAAATACAGCTGTGCGTGTTTGTAATCAGGCTATACTTTATATCATGTCTTCAAAAACCTAAATTTCCAAATAATCAATGACCACTAAAAACATTGATTTGATACATTCTATCAAAACACTATAGACTGCCTTTATGTTGCATTGGGGGTAAAGTCACAAAGGATTTGTCTTCGAAGAGTGACAGAATTCTGTTCAAAATTAAGATAACAAAAACTCATCCCATGGGTTCACTGGGTTCTAAACGATTTTAAGTTCACATGATGTTTTGTAATATAATTGGTGGCAGGCGCTTCAGAGAGATCACCATCATAACCCTCTCCAGTGCTGCTAATATATATTTATTGCTCTAGGTATGCTTTATTTATTGCTATCGATATGCTCTCAATTGGATATGTTCGTACCTTAAACAACGATCCTAGAGAGTAGAAATACCTTACTGGAATAATGGAACATTTTGTACACATTTTTCTGATTCTTCGCCAATTGCATGTGGAGTCCCGCAGGGATCGATTTTAGGTCCTATTATCTTCGTACTATACGTAAACGATATGCCCTTGACGATTAGAAACGGAAGAACAGTTTTCTGCGGATGATACGAATATTCTTTGCAATAAGGAAACCGTAAATAGTACAATAGTAGAGATTTCAAATTGGTTCCGTAATAACATTAATAGTTAATGAAAAGAAAACTTTCAATACAGTTTTCCATTCCAAATAAACAACTGCACTTCACTGAAAATGAACGGTGTGCCATTGACTGATGTTAAGGTAACAAAATGTTTAGGTCTTTCAATTCAGTAAAACCTTAAATGGAAGGTCCATTTAAATGAACTGGACACTAAATTAAGTTCTTTATGCTACGCTTTCAAAATTCCTTCAAATTCAGTCGGCCTCCACACTGCTCGTTGTGTGTATTTCGCTAATGTTCATTCACGCCTGAGGTATGGGATAATAATATGGGGAAATACACCGTATAGCTCCCAGACTTTTATATTACAAAAAAGAATTGTACGAATAATAAGCAAATCCCACTCACGTGATTCTTATAAGCCTCTCTTTATTAATCTAGGTATTTTACCATTATCTTGACTCTTTATATATGAATGAGTGTTATTTGTCAAAAATGACTTACTTGAGGGCGGGAATATATTTTCATTTGTTGTTAGCCGTTGTCTATAACTACAACACTCGACTTAATCATATTCATCAGGTGACAGCATTATAACGTACTAGCCAGCGAACCTCCTGGCTGCTATTTGGGGGTGCGTGGTATGAGATTAGTAACAGGAAACCGCCTCGCCACTGGAGGGAGAGAAGGGTTTATCCTAAAAGCAAGCACTCGCCAAAGGGAGACACGAGGCTTTGGGGTCCTCCGGTCTTAAGGAACGGAGACCCAAACCTCATGGCAAGCAGAAGGGCGCTGCGGAGGCGGCGTGACTTAGTAGGTCACGTAAGCCTCGAGTATAGGAGTGCACAGAGCCAGTGAGTGGGTTCTGGAGACAGCGAGAGAACCTCGCGCAGTTGCACAAAAACTTGGCGCCACGACGGTGCAGCGGCGAGCAGGGCTCGTGAGACAAGACACGTGTTGACGAGCCTGTGGAGGACTTCGTGTCCTTGGGTGACTGCGGTCACGTGGGAGCGATGCTGTATGCGTGCTCCGAGGTTAGGTGTGGTTGAGTGTCACGACTCGAGCCGATTCTCAGTCGGATAAGATATCTCTTGCGATCGAGGCAAACTATCAGTTGGTACGCAGGTACGGACTTCGTGTACCAGTGTGATATCCGGTCACGAAAGCTAGGCTTTGTGCGCGCTTCAGATGTAGTAGTGACGAGTGCCACAATTGAAACCGATCATCAGTTGGGTTGGGATCGCTCCCGCAATCAGGGGATAGCACGTCTATCAGCTAGGGTGTAAAGTGTAAATTCATTGCAAATATTTGTTATATGAAAGCTCGTTCTGTGCTCGCTGTATCCACGACTTCACAGTATCAACAGCTCACTACAAAAAATTCACATTACATGTACATTATTTTACAACACCTTGCCGATGACATAAAACGATTAAATTCAATACAAAAGTTTAAGTCCCAAGTAAAATATATTCTGCTGTACAACTGTTTCTATGCAATTAGAGACTATAAGAGACTATACTTTTTTTTATTATTCAGGGCGTTACCTTATCCAAAAGTTCTTTTAAGAGGGAGCAAACTTTTTTTTTTTCGTCGTAGGATTTCTTTCATTTTTAAGGCGCCAATTGTGAACATTATGCTTCTAATTTCCTTTCAGAGACCGGAAAACAGCTACATCCACAGGCTGTATAATATGTGCCGCATTTGCATATAAAGCAATGTGAACGATTCCATTGTCATTACAAAATCGGCTAGTGTGGAGAGTCAAATGCGAGCTGTTCCCATCTACAAAAAGTTTTACAGGCCTCAAAATCCCATTTTCGTCAACAAAGGATGAAAAAACAAAAGTTAAATATTCATAAAATAACATGCCATTCATCCATCCGGTTTCAGATTTGCTCAGCCCCAGTCATGAGGGACATTGTTAACTAATTCTTGCGGGATTCTCTCGTATTTGAACACAAGTAGAAGTGGCCCCAACTGTCCATCAGCATTAGCACATATAAGAACATTAGCACATATTCCTTTTCATTGGCACTTGATGGATATTCTTACTCCCTTTCATTTCAAGAACTTTATTACCCTTGAGGTTAAAAAAAAAAATCCTCTGCATTAAATACTCCACTTGGTTCTTCTCTCTCCAAATCGTTTGTTTCAGGTAATCATTTACCTCTGAAAACCAATTTCGGAGACAGCAGTAATCGATGGTCTAGTGACTAAAATTTTGGGAAACTCTTGTCTAAATATTAGGATTTCTCTTCAAGAAACTTTCGGACCACCAACGTCCAGGTCTAGAATCCGAAAAATTATTTTCCCTCCCCACGTCTTTCAATAGTTTTTGAGCGCTGTTCAGAAGGTTTTCCCTATTCACGGGAAAGCCAGCTTGAGCTACAGAAACTATCCACACTACCAGTGTATCCTCTTCTGTTATAACTGGTGAACGTCTCATTTTCTTGAATTTCTCAGCTTCTCCTTAAATACGCTTTGGCAGGCTTGGCCCAGGCACTCCATTATTTCTCGCTGCAGTCAACAGAGGGGCACCGCGCGAAACCTCTTCTGTTATCCTATCCATATTCTCCTTTCCAAGCTTCCACCACTTGGCTTTCTG